TTGTGTCGTGGTGGTTGTGTTGTATGGGGCGCCAAGTGTCGCATGACTGATTTCGTTACGAAATCATTGATTTCGTAACGAAATCAAGTCTACAAAGTGATTTCGTTACGAAATCAAGTCTACAAAGTGATTTCGTTACGAAATCAAGTCTACAAAATAATTTCGTTACGAAATCAAGTCTACAAAGTAATTTCGTTACGAAATCAAGTCTACAAAGTAATTTCGTTACGAAATCAAGTCTACAAAGTAATTTCGTTACGAAATCAACTACTGCGAGTCATTTTGTTACGAAATTAGCTACTGCGGGTCATTTCGTTACGAAATCATGCTACACTTGGCGCGCCGGCGCGCCAAATGTCGCATGACTTGATTTCGTTACAGAATCATTGATTTCATAACGAAATCAAGTCTACAAAGTGATTTCGTTACGAAATCAACTACTGAGAGTGATTTCGTGACGAAATCAAGTCTACAAAGTGATTTCGTTACGAAATCAACTACTGAGAGTGATTTCGTGACGAAATCAGCTACTGCGAGTCATTTCGGGACGAAATCAGCTACTGCGAGTCATTTCGGTACGAAATCATGCTACACTTGGCGCGCCGGCGCGCCAAATGTCGCATGACTGATTTCGTTACGAAATCAGCTACTGCAATCGAATGATTTCGTTACGAAATCATGCGATTTCGTTACGAAATCATGCTACACTTGGCGTGTGGGGCGCCAAGTGTCGCATGACTGATTTCGTTACGAAATCATGCTACACTTGGCGTGTGGGGCGCCAAGTGTCGCATGACTGATTTCGTTATGAAATCATTGATTTCGTAACTAAATCAAGTCTACAAAGTGATTTCGTTACAAAATCAAGTCTACAAAGTAATTTCGGTACGAAATCAACTACTGCGAGTGATTTCGTGACGAAATCAGCTACTGCAATCGACTGATTTCGTTACGAAATCATTGATTTCGTAACGAAATCAAGTACTGCGAGTGATTTCGTGACGAAATCAGCTACTGCAATCGACTGATTTCGTTACGAAATCATGCTACACTTGGCATGTGGGGCGCCAAGTGTCGCATGACTGATTTCGTTACGAAATCAAGTCTACAAATAAATCATGTAAATATTTGCGTTATTATTATTTATTATATTGCGTAATTATTGCGGGAAAAAATAGTTAAATGGATAAAGATAGAAAAATGAAAAAATATGCATACATGGGGGCGTGCGTGCATGGATGTGGCTAGACTGGTACCCGGTCCCACCTCTCGGCTTAGTTACTCGATGGGCTTAGTTACCATCGAGTAATCAAGGTGGGAGCGAGTACCAGTCTAGGATGTGGACTGCGGGAATTTAGGAAACCGGAACGGGGTTGTCTATATTCAGGCCGGTACAGGAGATAATTTGCATATTTTGTCACGTGGTTTGTGTTATAACCAATCAGATGTAATCGCGTGTTCGTGACGTCACTTCCAGCTGTATCGCAAAGCGATCTTATGTGCAGAAGTGTGAAGCACTGTACACCCCCAATCTCACCCTTACCCCATCGCAGCCCACTCTCACCCTGCAACCCTGCCAGCTACTCACCCTGTACACCAGCCCACTCCACCCCACCCTAGCCCTCTCACCCTGTGCCCCTGCCAACTCTCAAACCCTGCACCCCTGCCACTCTCAACACCTGCACCCAGCCACTTCTCACCCTGCACCCCCAGCCACTCTCACCTGCACTCACGCCAGCCAGCTCTCACCCTGTACCCCATGCCAACTCTCACCTGCACCCCAGCCACTCTCAATCCTTGTACCCCAGCCACTCTCACCCGCCTGCACCCCAGCCACTCTCACCCTGCACCCAGCACTCTCAACCCTGTACCGTACAGCTACTGCCTCATCCACTGTACTCACCAATCTCCACCCTGTACCCACCACTGTCCACGCCTTACACCCAGCCAGCACCTCTCACCTGTACCCAGCCACTCTTTCACCCTGCAACCCCAAGCCACTCTCACCGCTGCACCCTCAGCCACTCTCACCCTGTACCCCAGCCACTCCACCACCCTGCACCCCAAGCCACTGCTCAACCCTGCACCCCTGCCACTGCTCTCACCCTGTATCTCTGCCACAGGTTATGGCGCGCGGCCCGACGTGACTGTTGCGTGGATGACTAACGCTTTAGACGTTGATGAAGAAGGCAAGCTTCTCCTACGCGCGCTGAAGCGACGAAGACCAATCCGACGGCGCTGAAGCTACGCTCAGATTCAGTACGGACGCAATACTCCTCAGCTCTCAGCGATGCCGTTGTCAATCCAACATGGCCTGCGGCAACGTGACATGTGAGTAGGCAAACACAGGATGTAGGCAAATGTGATGTAGACAAATATGAACATATAGGGAACAGGTGACTGTAAACAATATTGATAAAGGCAACACGTCACGTATATAAGCAGTGTAGCATAGGCGAGCATGTGATGTAGGAAAAATGTGAGTTAGGCAACATGTGACGTAGGCAACAACCACTGATTGTTAGGCAATATGTGATGTAGGCCAACATGTATGTAGGCACATGTGACGTAAGGCAATCACGTGATGTAGGAATATGTGATGTGGCAAACATGTGATGAAGGGGCCAACACCGTTCACGTATAATAGCAGTAGGCATAGGCAGCAGTCGACGAGCACAACATGTGGGCGTCACCAGGTCCGTTAACGAACCTCAGGCGACGAACGAGTCATGGGAAAGAGTCAACCAAATGAATAGACAACACGTGATGTAGGCAACGCTGTTTAAACGACTGACATAGACCATATATAACATAAACACTAAGTAATGTTGGTGCAAACCCACCTCAGAACCATCATTCATACACACGGCATAGGCACAGTTCAGCTAGGAAATTACTCGATTTGTTTACAAACCAGGAATCATTCAGGCAACACCTAAATATGAAAAAGGACGACAAAATATTGCAAATAAAAACTTAATAACCTTGCCTCTGGCAGAAGAGGTGGGATCCATCAGATTGAAATAGCACCTGGTGGCCGCTAACGATTCAACCAAGATTCAGAATGCTACAATGAAATC